TTGCTTCATGTGTGGAAAACCCACACATCTGGTGTCACTGAAGTCTTGTGAGTGAGTCTATTGTGAGTGAGGTAGTAGTGTGAGAGTAAAGGAGAAACACAGTTTTTTTCCTACACAGGAGGTAAATATATTTCACTTGTGGCACTATTCCCTATGCCCTCTGCACAACAGACATTGCTAACTGAATCCTTCTCTGCTGAGTCTAGACCTACCCTTGGAATCATTCTTAGTTTTTGCCCTAGGTGATGACTACCTTTGAATGATTTGCATTGGTGTTGAAATCTATTTATCATCCATGTAGGCCAAATCTGTTCCTTTCACAGAAGGATCTATGCTAAATGTTGTAGCAGAGACTGGCTAGATGTTCTTTAAACCCACTTTTTATTCTTCCTACATCCATGGGTAGACTACATTACCAGTTTCCCTTCCAAATATGGGTGGCCACATAACTGTTCTAACCAATAGAATGTGAGTACACCATTTCTAGGTCTAGCCCTAAAAGTATCCCACATGCTCTCCTCCGTTATCTTTCTTATCCACTGATTTGATGCCTATGAGCACAGTGACTCTGTGAGCCACCTGATGAAGTTGGCAGAGTCAAAAGATGGAAGGAGTCTGGTCTCTGGATCACCTCTTTGAAGAAAGCTAGCTACCAATCATAAACACCTGTTTGGGGTTTATGTGAGTAAGAAATAAAATTCTGTCATGTTCAGGCCATTAAAACTTTTGAGCATGTTCATTACAAAAACTAGTGTCACAAACAAGAGTCATGCAAAATCATATCACTAACATGCTCTAGAGCCAGAATTTGAATCTAGGTCTTTTCAAGTCCTACTTCTTCCCACAATGCCAAACTTATTGATAATTAAAAAAATGATCCATGTTAATTATAAAGACCTTATTTCAACCAAAATTGTCTCCAATTCTAATGCTACCAAGTGTTGAGTTCATCTGCAGCAAGGTTTCCGCCATCTCTAAAAAAATCTCAGGTGTCTTCCTAGTGATGCCTTCAGGACCAGACTTCCCCACCCCCCTATTCTGGCCTACAATTCCTGCTCAGATATGAAGCACAAAGGGTGACATCATTGTTAGGGTTTCTCAAGTGTGTCCCGGGGAACCATTTCTGTGGGATATTGGTAGGTTTGGTGCCTAAATAAAATAAAATAAAATGGTCAAGGACATTTGGGAAATTCTAGATTAAATGAAGTGAGAAGGTGTCTTTTCTATAGGAATGTCTTTTAATAAGATAATATGCCCTGAGACTCTCCAAAATAGGGGTAAAGTCAGTAGCATTTTGCAAGTTATTTGATGACAAAGTCCCTTCCCAAAAAGCATCTCAAGAAACTGGTATTCCATTGAATACATTTGGGAAATACAAACCTAAGTATATTGGGTCATACTCATAACTGTTGGTACTTGAAATTGAGTCTAGTACACCTTGGAATCTGGCCCTTGTGCCTAAGGAGACTTTGTTTCTGGTTGTGGTGTTCTGCATGTACTGCCTATTCCTGACATGTGACAAATGATTAGTCCTTGACCTTTGTCTGGTTTGGGTCACTAACCCACTAACCCTTTATCCTTTGGCTCTCTTCAAGACTTAACAACAGACTGTATTTTGTGAACTCAACCCTGCCACCTTTCATCTATCTTGTTGCTGCCCTGCCTTGACAGAACACCAATGTTCCCTTTCATTAGTTGAGTGTGTGGATTATAGTATTAAGTCTTTTTTTTTTTTTGAGGAAGATTAGCCCTGAGCTAACATCTGCCACCAATCCTCCTCTTTCTGCTGAGGAAGACTGGCCCTGAGCTAACATCCGTGCCCATCTTCCTCTACTTTTTTTTTATATGTGGGATGCCTATCACAGCATGGCTTGCCAAGCCGTGCCATGTCTGCACCTGGGATCTGAACCAGCGAACCCTGGGCCTCCGAAATGGAATGTGCGCACTTAACTGCTGCGCCACCGGGCTGGCCCAGTATTAAGTCTTGATTCAATAAAACACCCCACATAAAGGGTGGGTGTGGGGTAGCGTTAGTAACATAAAGAGGCAACTCTTACTAGTCTAGTTACATATCAACATCAATGAAATACAGTGGGGTTACATTATATGGACATTTATATAATGTGAATTCAACCAGACACACTTAGCACTCTGGCCCCAGATAGTGAGAAAAAATAGTTTAAAAGCAAGGCAGTTAGATTTTATGTTAGGGAATGCCATTACTGAAGGCATCCCATAATTTAAAACTTGCACAATCCAAGATTAATTTTTCAGAAAGCTGACAAAGAAAGGCAGGTATTTCTTCGCTGTCTGAAGTGGCATCACCACAGGCTGTAGCAAACACATGGTTTCCAATTCACCTGGCCTTCCAGCTTTAAAATTGTGCAATTGCTAATATAATTTTTTTAGTATTTCTATTATTTCAAGTGCTGTCAATCATGTAAGAATTTATTAATATTTTTATGTTGTATTCTTTCAAGTCTGTATAACTCTGATTTTATAAATTGCTACTGCATTATAGTGTGGCTGCTTTCACCCACCATCCCACTCCATTTGTACAGTGGATTTAATCTGTTCAGATATATGACTGCTCTCTCTTTCCTGTGTGCCTTTCATAGTAGAAAATATCACTGTCCTATAAATGCAAACCAAGTATTTCATCTGGCCTCACCCAAAGAAACTGAAATCTATTGAATGTTGGAAAAATGGCTACGTTGAATTTACTGAAAGTTATGTCACTCTCCAAAATGTCATGTAGTTTTAAGGAGTTTTTCAAAGATAATTTTGAATGTACACAATTCTTGTCTTATGTGCTAACTTTAGAACTTTACCTCCCACATAAGATGTGGCTCTACTTGAAGATAATGGACATTATTTGTTGCCAACCTAGCATCTATTACTCCCTTCTTTCTTCCTAAGAAAACCCTATTTTATTCAGGTATCTAACCCTCATATGACTAAAGGGAAGATGATCTTAACACAGCTCCAGGAGTAGACTTCGATTTGTCTAGGCTCATCACTGTAGTGCCACCCCCCTCACCAGTGATTGGTTTCACATGGGTTGAGCAACTCAGTTGTGACCTCTGAGATACAAGATGAAGTCTGTTGAGGGGTTCCTGGAAAGATTTTCTTGATTCTTAGAAAGGGACAGAGACAGTAACAGTCCCTCTTCTTCCAGAGCATGTTGTTGGGTCTAGACCTGTCTCCAACAGTTATTGCTATCTTGCTACCAGTCCTCCGGGGATGTCAACATCAAGAGTGGAAGAGAGCAGAGAAGGACAAACCCTAGGTCCTTGAAGATATTGCTCAGTTCCTGAATCAACCAATCCTGAAATCTCCCCAATTTTTTTCTCTTAGATAATGTATCGGTCAACTTGGGCTGCCATAACAAAATACCATAGACTGAGTGGCTTAAACAGAAATTTATAAGAGAAATAAGAAAAATTTATTTCTCTCAGTTTCAGAGGCTGGAAAGTCCAAGATCAAGGTGCCAACTGATTTGGTGTCTGGTGAGGACTTCTCCTGGCTTGCACACAGCCTACCTTCTCTATCTCTTCACATGGCCTTTCCTTGGTGTGTGCAGAAGGATAGAGAGCTCTCTCTCTCTCGCTTTATAAGGCCACCAATGCTACTGCATTAGGATCCCGCCCTTATGACCTGAATTATCTCCTAAAGGCCCTATCTCCACATATAATCACATTGGGCTTTAGGGATTCAATCTAGGAATTTTGGGGGATACAATTCAGTCCACAGCAGATAATATAACAAATGTCCTTAGGTTTTGTAAATAAGTTTAAATTATTTTTTCTGTCATATATTACTGAATACACCCTAACAGATATCATTACTTATTAAGCAATACACAAAGGATAATATCTAATTCATGACATATAACATGAAAAGATCAAGGGCAATTTTCCTTTTCTAAGAACAAAGCAGTTGGAGAGTTAAAAATGGTTAGTCCATTGCTGTTACAGAGGGCATTTCATGAACTGCTGATTGTACATATATGTGGTATCATGTTAACATAAACAGTCCAGCCCTTAGGGAGTTTTAAGTTATAAAAGAAACATTTTTCTAAGATCATGTACTCTGATATAAAAACCATACTCCAGCCTAGTTCTATCATTATAAAGTTCTGGCAAGCCAAGAGACGTTAGTTCGTGATTTTATCAGCAAGACTTCTAACTAATGGCTTGATGAAGCCATCACTGCACCATAAAACACCGTAACAAATTGCAATGACGATTCCTTTCAAGAATTTAGTCGTCTTAGATTATTACAGTTTATTCCATGAAAAGCAGTATCTCAGGGATCACCACAATACTACAAAACAGAATACACTTTTACCTTTATGACTGAAATGAATCAATTCTATTTATTCTTGCAATTCAAATCTAATTTTATAACTATCTTCAACAAAAAAGGTGGAGTGTAGATTTTATCCCATTGTAGTAAAGCTTTTATGACATGTTTTACCTATCATTTTAGTTACATTGTATACAAAGCAACTTTATGTAGTATTCCAGATGAAAATTAAATAAATAAAATTATATTGAAGTGAATGACTTTCACAACATAGTAAAATCCACTTTTTATTTTCTAGCCTGGGAAGTGGAAAGAGCAGCACTTATCAAATTTTAAAAATAAAAAAACCAAACAAAATACAAACCAAGAAACAAATGATGAGAGATGTATTTGCATATAGATGGATCCATATTAAAGCAACAGAACCTGGGCCATTTTGAAATCTTAAACCTTCTGACACTATTTTCATAAATTCAGTAATACAAACCATGTGGTGAATGATTTTCTGAAAAACTTTGCTGGTTTCACTGTGTATTTTATTATTGGCCAAATGTGACATTAAATTTTATCCCCTGTGGCTTGGAGTTAAATGCTTGCTCTGTTCAGAACGGCAACACTCAATTAAACAGCGTTTTTCATGATCTACACCCACCATTGTTACTGTATTTAAGGGAAATAATGGGGGTACTGACCTATATTGCGTTTCTTATTATCAATGGAGATGAAGCGTATGCAGGGATTACTGTTGATGTACTGCCCAGCCCAAGGGACATCAATCTTCGTGCCAGCTTCATAAAAGAGTCCCAGAGCGTAGCGAGAGGAGTAGCTCACAGACTCCAGTTGCTGCCTTTGGCGTTCACTAATTACTGTGGAAGAAAAAGTACAGGCCATCAAACTTGAAAATATCATCTTTCCTTTTAGTACATCAAATACAAAACTCCTTTAGACTAGTTCCAACTGTTTCCACCAACTCCATCTCACTTAGGATGAATTTTGAAAGGTAATGTAAAATAGCATCAGCTCTGATTTCTTTTCAGAATGATTATTGATGTTGGCATAATTGTTGTTATCAAGCTGGAGATCCAAACTCTTTAGGCTGGCATTCAAGGCTCTCAAAAATCTGGTGCCAACTTGCTTTTCTAGCTTTGTAGCCTAGTTATTATCCTAGGACTGTCTGGCAACATTATAGATCCCATAGAATCAGCACTTACTATGAGTCAGGGTCTTTGCCAAATACTTGCTACCAGTATTTCACCCTAGCCTAACAACTGCCATATAAGGTAGAGTATTATTCCCACGTTACAGGTGAGGAGACGAATGTTCCATCCCTTATGGACCTCTTAAATTCTTTCGTGTCATAGAGTGATTTATTTGCCTATCATTTTTCTGCTAAAGGATTAAAATAGTTCCTTAACCATAGGGACCACACTTTTGTTATCTTTCTTATAGGTCTCTATGCTACTCGTTACAGACACGCCAAGAATGAAAGTATAAACAGATAGAAAGGCAAATACAGACACACAAAGTTAGTTAAACTGCAGGAAGTAAATAATCAATCAACAAATGGAAAAAGATTGGGAGAGGAAATAGGCAGATTTGGGTTCAAATCCTGACTCTGCCACTTACTGGGTACGTGACATTGGTCAAGCTATTTAATTATTCTAATTATAGTCCTCTTATCTATAAGTGGCAATAATAGTACACAGTGCATTAGTCTGTTGTGAAGATTACATGAAATAATGCATAGCACAGTGCTTGGCATATGATAAGTGTTCACTAAATAGTCACTTTTTCTATTATAGAGAGGAAAATACTTAAGAAAATGGGACAATGTTCCATCCCAGAATGGAGCAGGAAGAGATTTCCCCCACTTTTCAATCTCCATCTCCAATCTTCCTACCCTTAAAGCTCACAGGGAGCTGCTAGTTCATATATGGATAGCATGAATAATTTGAGTTTCAGAGAAGCCCATAGTTCTCTTCCGAAGGCTTACACAGGCTGGTTCAGAAATGGAACATATGAAAAATTCTCATTTAATTACTGAAAAATATCCTAATCTAAAACAGCAGGGATATGCAGACCTCAAGGATGGAAGGTAACTTTAGCTAAACATTAGCGAAGTGGCTTAGGGAGGTAGAGAGAAGGCAAGAAGGGTATTCAATGAATTATTTAAACACAGTAATAATACTATACATTATCATAGCATATTCCTGGCTAAAAAACATTTTCAGAACTAAGACCTCATCTGATCTTACAATAGCCCTGCAAGATAGGTGTTTTTTACTACCCTCATTTTACGTCCCTAAGAAGCTGAGTTTCAGAGAGGTTCAGTAACTTGCCCTAGGTTAAACAGTTGCCAAGTCAGGCAGTCAAGATAAAGCCAGAATTCCCATAGTGGAGTCATTCACATATCCTTATCCACATATCCACATATCCATACTTTCCCCTCCTAATCTGTAAGTCTGAACTTCAAAATGAACATTGCTTTCTCCTCTGACGTTAACAGTTATTTTGCACTCAGAAGTAAAAGGTATCATTCCCTTTAACTGTCATTTTCTGCCTAATTAAAAGATTTAACTACTTGATGAATGAATTATCTTCTGACACTGGCCTCGGTTACACTCGTTAACACTTTTCGGCTTCATTTTATTATTTAATCTGCTTTTAAAGTTATGGCCGGATGTTATGCTTACTGCTTTCTGAGAGAGAGGAGTTGAAAGAGGCTAATACCAGTAGTTGAGCTCATGTTGTGTATTTTGGGTCTTATCACTATGTTTCCCATTTTTTCAGTTAAAAAAACCCCAACAAAACTGTGTAGTCTATTTAGTAACTGATAGGGCCCAAAACTCTCTTCTTTTTCTTTAACCAAAACTGAAGGGTCAACTAGGTTGACAACCAAACTGGACCTTTCTCTGCCCTCCGACACACACATTTGCACGTTTAGCTAGTTTTTAGACAAGCTGCCAAGTTGCAAATCTCACTGGGCAGTGCTTTGAAGAGGTAATTGATATCTGTATAAAAAGAGAAATTAACTTTAAACACTCTTGCCTGCTGTAGGAGATCCACAATTCATCCCGAGAACAGGGAGGTGAGACTTCTGACCTAAACAATCTCAATTTCTAGACATATTCAATGACTAAAAAATTCATCTTCAGGACCTGAAAAGTTTTGTTCTTTTGATTGCTGCAGACCCTAACAAAATGGTCTTATTTTGTTTGAAAAATTTTCTTATGCAAAATGCTGATGGGGGCAGTCCTAGGTCCAAAATATATATATTTTTGGCAAGAAAAATGATAGGTTCTTTACTATAACATGTATTCAAAAGGGTGATATATCCACAAAACAAGGCTCATATAAAAATATGTATGATGGATATAATGAATCTTTACCTGGATGTCATCCTCATTCAATTCTGAACCACTAGGATTATATAATCTCTGTAATTATACACACTCCATATACATGAAGAACTGTATACAGCTCTTCCTCGATTTACAGTGGAGTTACATCCCAATAAACCCGTCCTAAGTTGAAAATATCGTAAGTCGAAAATGCATTTAACACACCTAACTTACCAAACATCATAGCTTAGCCTAGCCTACCTTAAATGTGCTCAGAACACTTACATTAGCCTGCAGTTGGGCAAAATCATCTAACACAAAGCCTATTTTATACTAAAGTGTTGAATATCTCATGTAATTTATTGAATACTATGCTGAAAATATCACATTGAATGGTTGTATGGGTACAGAATGATTGTAAGTGTATCGGTTGTTTACCCTCATGGTCGCATGGCTGACTGGGAGCTGTGGCTCGCTGCCGCTGCCCAGCATCACAATGTCGTAATGCATATGGCTAGCCTGGGTGAAGATCAAAATTCAAAATTCAAAGCCTGGTTTTTACTGAACACATATTGCTTTCACACCATTGTAAAGTTGAAAAATTTTAAGTCAAATTATCCTTAAGTTGAGGACTGTCTGCATATAATATAGAATATATTTTACGACTATGATGTGAGTACAGCGGGTATAAATTGTATCGAACAGGATAGTTTGCATTCATACTTTCTTCAACCAGTAGAACTGTTCTTATTCCATTCTCCTCGTGCCTGTGCCTGCTTGTTTATGTACCTGTGCACACGTGAGCAGGGGGGAAGGTGAAGGAGAGAGGGAGAAAGAGGGAGGGGGATGGGGAAAGAGAAACAGAAGACCTGGGCTATGCTCTTGAATAACATCAGGTAAGTAATTTCATTTTTTTGTTTCCTAATGTAATTTCATTCTTTTAGTTTCCTAACCTATAAAAGAAGGCTAAACAGACATATGCTTCTTATTTTCTATGTTTTTTGGTGATGATCTCATTCACTCATTCACTGCCTACTTAATGCCAGGTAGTATTCTAGATGTTAGGGATATAAAGCAGAATGATAACGTCTCTGCTCTCATTTAGCTTACACACTAGTGGTGGAGAGATCAATTATAAATAAATAACCAAGTAAATGGTATGTCAGTGGGTGATAAGAACCATAAAGAAAAATATAGCAGGGTGCAGGGCTGAAAGTGACAGGTGTGGGTAGTGAGGCTATTTTATATAGGCTGTCAGGGGTCTATGTCTCCTCTGAGGATTTTATTCTGATTAACATGCAAAGTTACTACAGGTTATGAGCCAAGGACAGATATGACCTGGCTTCTGTCATAAAAATTATCATTCTGGCTAGAGGTGAAGACTCTGGGGATGTAAGCAGGAATTGGGGTAAACAACTATTGCAATAGACCTGGATTGGAAATAAGAGTAGAGGAGGTTAGGAGTGACTACATCTTGGATGGAATGTGTGTGTGTGTGTGTGTGTGTGTGTGTATGTGTGTGTGTATATATATGTGTGTGTGTGTATAAATAAATACATTTACATTATATATTTATATGTGTGTGCACGCAGATTATATATGTGAGTCACATACACACACATCCATATATAAAAATTTATACATAATGTAAATTTTAATTTAACACATATACAGAAAAGTACGCCTTGATGAATTTTCATAAAGTGAGCACAGCAGTATAATCAGCAGCCAGAATAAGAAACAAAACATTACCAGAACCCCAGAAGCTCTGTTCTCTCCACTCTCTTTTCAGGCACTCCCTGCCAAGGGTAATCAGTAATTCTCACACCACAGATTAGTTTAGCTGTTTTTGAACTTCACATAAATAGAACAATGCAGTATGTACTCTTTGTGTCTGGATTCTTTCACTCAAATTATGCTTATGATATTTATAAATGTTGTTACATGCAGTTGTAGCTAATTAATTCTCATTGCCAGATAGTATTGCTTATATGTATATATGACACTATTTATCCATTCTACTGTTGATGGACATTTGGATTGTTTGTAGTTTTTGGTGATTACAAGTGCAATGTGAAGAACATGTGTATGTGTTTCTCTTGGGTATATACCTAGTACTGGAATTCCCGGATCATGAGGTTTCCTCATATTCAGCTTTAGTAAATATTACCAAATGGTTTTCTAAAGTTATTGTACCAATTTGTACTCCAACCAGGGGTGTAGGAGAGTTTGGTCGTGCCACATCTTTGTAATTTAATTTGGGGTGCAACGATATCACATTGTGGTTTTAATTTGCATGCCATGATGATTAATATTTGGAAATCTTTCCATGTTTATTTGATATCCTTTTGTGATTGCCTCTCAAATCTTTGCTCCTTTTTCCTTTGGGTTCTCTGCAGTTTTCTTATTGCCATGTAGAAGTTCTTCATATATTCAGAGCATGTCTTCTATAGGAATTCTAAAAACTTTCTTCTCAGTGGCCTGCCTTTTTACTCTCTCAATCATGTGACTTGATGATCAGAGTT